GCCGGCTGACGCATCGTGCTGCCGAGAAGCCAGCGCGGTGCCTCCGCCGCCTGGCTCGGGCCGGGGCCGCCGTCGGGCAGAGGCGGGGAGAGCGTCGCCGAAATGCGGGCAGGGGCTCCGGGCAGCGGGAGCCAAGATAACAGGGAGTCCTGTGCCGGCCCCTCCCCGTGCAGGGACCCATAACTCATCAGTGGGAAACATCATCCTATTATGTCTTCCTGACGGTTCCTTACAGGCTAACGCTGCTGCTTGGTCTGGGAGTTTTCTTCTCATGTCGCCAAATTAACATATTTTGCATATTACAGTTGAGTGCCTTGCCTTAGATTGCAGTCTAAACTGCAAGTAAGTCCCTTAAGAGTTGCCATGAGTTTTGACGTTTGTTATTTTGTTAAAAATGGGCTATGGTGTTCTTTCCTCCTGTTACCAAAGCCAATCTGAAATGAAACTAGTCTAGAAAAATTCATTGTTCTCTGTAGTTGCAGCTGTACCTGAAATAAAAATGTTATTGATGACTGAATTTTCTTGTGTGTATATTTGTTGAGCTGTATTAAAACAGAAAAAAAAAGAAATTACTTGTATTTTCTTCGCTCTCTGCTTTGAAAACATCTATTTGATTTCACCCCCATCTGTTGTAATCAATAACCTGACCATCTTGTTTTTTATTAAATGCACTTACTCTTAATTTCATCCACCAGTGGTTTTAGAGAGAATAATGTGGAGTTACCTATATAGGTTTGACATTATAAATCACTTCTTGAGGCTGAATCGTATAGCGGTATCGATTGATCCTGATATATCACAGAAATTTACTGTCACTTCTGTTTTCAATTAAAGATACAATCAGTCAGATAATGACTTAATTGGATTTTACAGAAGATTGAGTTTTATTGCCCAGTGCTTTACGAGTTTAGTTAAGGAAGATCATTTTATCACACTTGTCAGCCTGCTCCCGCGGCTCCGTGCCCTTCTGCCGCTGCCACCACCGTGTCGGCGGCGCGGCTCCCCGGAGGGCGCGGCAGGCGGGACCCGGACGGAGGCAGGTGCTCGCTTCCACCCCTGCTCTGTCAGTCCTCAGGCCTTGCTGAAATACAGCTTCTTAATTCCTGGAGTAGGTTTCACGGCTCCCCTCCGCTCTCCCCTTCCCGTCCCCGAGCGCAAAGCATCCCGAGGGGTGCAGCGCCAGCCCCGGGCTGTGCTTCCTGCCGCGGTCAGGGTCCGTGTGCTCCCGAGCTCGGCAAACCCTCCGGGAGGTGCCCCGGGAGGGGCATGCCCCTCGGTGAAACCTGTGCCGCTGGCGGCCTGGGCCTGGTTCTGGTTGCCCGGCTGAGCGGGCAGCAGCCCTGGGGACAGACGTGCCCAGTGGCACACGGGGAGTGGGGGGAAAAGCCTGCTTTTATGTAGACCAGTGTGGGACCTGGTTGGTGACAAGGGCGTTGAGAGTAACTTATGGGGGGAACAAACAGCATCCTTAAGAAGACGGGTAATGCTGCCTGGAGCACCTGGAGAGTAATTCACGTTCATCACGGAGGGAACTTCGGTGGAAAAGATCGCCGATGAAGGACGGCTGAGAAGCTCACGCCCCACCCCACCAAGAGTGGGAAGATGCGGGGTGATGTCCCGGGAAAGCCTGGGCCCCCTCCCGTGGGAAGGCGGTGGCTGTAGCTGGGAGCGCCGGCCCGGCTGGATGCTCGGCTGCCCCGTGGATGCTGGATGCGCGGCCGCGCGGGGAGCTGGCACTTCTCCCTGGCCTGTCCATGGGTGCTCTCCATTTGCACGGCCCGGGACGTTCCTCCTTTTGATCTCTGGGACGCCTCCGAGCAGAACTAACGGGGCTGTTGCATGGAGCACGGAGACTTTTCACGGGCTTTTTGGAGTTTGGGGCAGTTTGGGGTTTGGTTGGGTTTTGTTCGGTTTGTCTGTGTCTGTGGTTGGTTTCTCTGTTGCGACTGTTTTGTTTCTGTTCCCTTTTTTGGTTGGGGGTTTTGTGGTTGGGGGTGTTGTTTTGTTTGTTCGTTTGTTGTTACTATTTTGTTTTTCCACCGCACCGCAAGTCACCCTCTTCCCAAGTATCTCTAGCTGGTTGGTAAGCAGTGACCTTTATTAATGCTACTCCTCTCAAAAACCGCGTTCCTCGCCCAGCGCCAGGCAGCTTTGCTGATTTGCCTGACCCTGTGCGGAATTCACATTTTCCTCGAAGTCATCCATGAAAGTTTCGCCCCGCTCTAGCGTGACGCCCCACCACGCAGCCCAGCAGAGCTGGCATTTTGCTCCTCTACCTCCTTACTGTGTGCCCTCACAGACGGTCAGAGACACCGAGAGTCACTCTCCGAGCGGGCAATCATGCCTAATTTATTCCTGCCTTTTCCTTGTAACGCCGGTAATGCCCTAAAGCAGTTCGGGCGAGGCGAACTAATCCTGCCGTTCGCACTCGCTCAAGTGGTCACCAGCATCCCGCGAACGCCCTCTCCCGAAAAGCTTATTTTGTAGCAGTGCGAGCACTACCGAGCACTCCCTCCTCCGACCCCCTCCTCCGCCCCTAGGACGCGGGGCCGGCGGGGCACCCCGGCGCAGCAGACCCTGCGGCCGCCCCTGTCCGCCCGGCAGAGATGCGGCTCACGGCGGCTTCCAGCAGCTACTGGGCGGTAGCGCCGAGTCCTCCGCATGGCTCTACATCGAAAAGTCGCGAAATGCCAGCGGATTCGGGCCGGTTTCCAGCTCGTCTCCCGCCCTGCCCGGTCGGCAGGGGTTCTTTGGCCCTTTGGCTGAGCCGGTCTTTTCCGCTAAATGTTATTTGGAGCATATGTTTCGCACATTCATTCTCTTTCGGTCTATTATTCTGGGCGCTAACTGCTAACACCTCATTGTCACCTTGAAATTTCCTCTGCTGTTTTGCAATTAAAAGCTTAATAGCCCTGGAAACGGAGTTCATGTGGCGCAGTTTACCATCGCCACTTCGTCTGAAAAGCTTTCTGCTGGGATCCCATTATGTGCTTGAATAAACCTTTTCGGCGAGCAGAAATGGGAACCGGGGTTGTCAGGTGTTGGGTTACAATGGACTTTCAGACAGGGGACGTTTTGCTAACATAAATACGAATCTGGCCCTGTGGGTAGATGTTGTCAAATACTAGGACATGGAAACCATTCCCATCAAATATGAGAAAAGGATTACAGTATTATATCAAACGGGCATTTCAGCCTAAGAGCCCGATGTGCAGCCAGGCGAGAGAGGGGCCCCCGGTCCTCCCTCCGCCAGCCTACCGCCGCACCTCGGCTCGGGATCTGGCAGCCGCCCGGCCGGCTGCGGTGGCGGAGGCGCCCCGCAGGACCCTCTGCAGCTAGTGGGGAAGTAGGGTTTTCCACCACGATCACCACCGCCTCAGGCAGTTGCACCCCGTTTCTTCGTTTAGAGGGATTTCCAAGAGTGGGTGCGCATCATCTTGCGTAATTCTGTGATAGTTGAATGGGTGGTCCTCTTCTGTCTTTTTCTCCCCTCGACTGGGACTCCCGAGTGCGCAAGAGGCCCCGCGGGGGAGGTCAGTTGCGAGCTGCAGGGTTCAGTGCGTGCAAAAAAATTATGTTCTACTGACAGAAAATGCACTGCTCCCCGTATCTGATCCGATTCACCTCCTTGGCTCGGTGCGATTTACAGGTGGAGCGCTCATCCTCCTCTCACCCTGCGCCCAGCCCGGGGGAGAAAGAATCACTCTTCCTCTAGAAGCAGAAAAGTAACGAGGAAAGAGCCTAGTAATGAAATACCACGCAAATACCTTCGTAGGTACCACTGTGCCTTTTATTCTCTCCGGCGAGATACTCCCCGAGTTTTAAATCTGATTTCCTAATTACGTAGCCTCGCTAAAATCTTTATTTCGTGTAGCGGTTATGGTGGAAAGATGCCTGGGAAGAGCAGGGAAGGTCTTGAGGCAACGAAATGGGTTCGGCTCCAAGCAGCAGCCCGTGCCCGCCCGCGGACGCTACGCCGCGGGCAGATGAACGCTTGCGGTAAATTTGTTCCCTCCAGCCAAAATGCATATAACTTTTTGGTATTTTTTTCCCACCAATATATTACATTTGGATTCAAGGTTCTCGCTGCCACACGGGAAATACCCGTGTTTCAGCGAGAAACCCCTCGGCGTAGGGAAATGCAGAACACAAGTCCGCCGCATCAGACATTATCATTTAGGTTTCAAGCAACCTGACTTGCCGTGAATTTCACGTTCCTTTCTACAGCCACCGTTTGCGTTTGGGTAGCTGTCTTGCCGCGGGGTGCAGGAGAGGCAGCGGACCCCACGGGGCAGGTGCCTGCCGCGCCTCTCCCGCTCTGCGGCGCGATCCCGCGGGGACGCGGCCGCAGACCGATTGCGCCCAGTTGTTCTGGGCAGCTCCTGGTTCCGGACAGCTCCTGCTCTCAGCATCTCTTTGCAGCGGCAAAACTTTGGCAAAACTTTGATCTCGACGCCCCGCCACTGGCTGGCGACGCCGTGCCACAGGCGATGGCAGCCATGCCCCGTGCCGCCGAGGCAGCGGGGCTTTCGAGGCGGGGCCGACGCGGAGAAACCTCCTAGACCCTGCTCGTCTGTCAGCCCCGGGTGCTTTCAGGGCGTGAGGGGCAGGGCGTGGGTGGCAACGTCCGAGGTCCCGGTCCGCTCAGGGACGAACCCCTTCGGCACGGCACGGCACGGCACGGGCATCGCCGCCCCGACGGCGGGGCAGAGGCCCCCCCGCCACCGCTTCCCTCCCTCCCTCTCTCCCTCCCTCTCTTCCTCTATCTTTCCATTCCCCTGTCGGCGCCGGGGAAGGAGGGTCGCGGGCAGCGGCACTGTCGCTCCGGCCGGCGGCAGCGCTCTGCCCGCCGGTGCCACCGCGGCGGGCGGTGCCTCTCCGCGCCGGCCTGGGGTGCCCCCCGCAGAGCCGCCCGCCTCCTCTCCTCCATCGCCCCGGCCTCCGCCCGCCCTCGCTGAGGCCTTCTCCACCCCGGAGCCGGCCGGGCTCCTCCCGCGGGCATGAACGGCTATGGCTCCCCGTACCTCTACATGGGCGGCCCGGTGTCGCAGCCGCCGCGGGCTCCGCTGCAGCGGACGCCGAAGTGCGCCCGGTGCCGCAACCACGGCGTGCTGTCCTGGCTGAAGGGCCACAAGCGCTACTGCCGCTTCAAGGACTGCACCTGCGAGAAGTGCATCCTCATCATCGAGCGGCAGCGGGTGATGGCCGCGCAGGTGGCGCTCCGCCGGCAGCAGGCCAACGAAAGCCTGGAGAGCCTCCTCCCGGACTCCCTGCGCTCCCTCCCCGGGCCGCCCGGCAGCACCGAGCCCCCCACGCCGCCGCCGGGGCCGTCGCCCTGCGCCGCGCTGGCCGCCGCCGCCGCCCTTCGCTGGGCCGCCGAGCCGCCCCCCGCGCTCCCGGGGCCGCTCCCCAAGGCAGGTGAGGCCGGGCCGGGCACCGCGGTACCGGGGCGGGAGGGAAGGGATCCGGCCTGCGGGGTTTGGGGGATGGGGCCGGAACGAGTAAAGGCGAAGGCTTTCCCTTTCACCCGACGGGCTCCGTGGGAAGGGAATGGAGAGGAATTCCGTCGGGTACACCTTATCGCTCTTAAAAAGCATGGAGCCGCAAAGTGACCGGCCCGCTCCCCAGCCAGAATCGCGTCCACCGAGACAAGTAGAGACAACTAGAGGGCTGCCAATGGGCTAGCCCCCGACGTGCCGCTTCTGGGCCCGTTCCTCAGGTCTGCGGAGAGCGGGCCGCATCCCGCGTGGATCACAGCAGCATGTCTTTCTGCTTCTCCCGGTCCCGCTCCCGGAGTCGCTGTCCCGCTCCCCGCACCCCGGGCACCGGGCTGCAGGACCTCGAACGGGACAGGACCTGCAAGAAGGCTTCTGCGAAGCTGTGACGACCGGGGGAAGCGCAGTGGTGGCGGGGGCTGAGCGGGGCAGTCCTCCTGCACAGGCCTGTCCCTTCGGGTCGCGTCCGGGGCGGCTTGTGAGAGGTCGGGGGTGCCGAAACTACCGCCTGCAATGGGCCCCTGGTGAGCGCGACCTGTCGCTAGCACACATTTCTGGAGGCAAAACTGACGCTCCGGAGCCGCAGTCGCGTTCCGTGCGTTGTCTGAGCGGGAGCTGTCTCTCACGACAGGGATGCTCGGCAGGCAGGCTGCTGCCCCGGGACGAGGGCGGCGAGCCCCGTGCTGCCGCCGCGCCGGGCCGTGTGCGCTGTGGAGCCAGTCCGGCCACGGAGGCGTCCACCAGGGCTCCAGCATAGGTCCCTGCTCCTCCAGCACCGGAGCGGACACGCAGCGGGCCCGAGGCGGCGGCACGGCTGAGTCCGACACTCTGGCGAGGATGCCGCTGGTTTGGGACCCGCTTCCCATTTTCCGGCCCTTGGTACCACCTGCCTGCCCTCCGGCAGCCCCCTCCCCCACATCTCGGCGCAGTTCCGTCGGCCTCCCCCCAGGGCCGGGCATGGGGGTCTTTCCCCAAATTTCCCACTGGTGGTAGCCTCCCGCCGGCGCGGACGCTCCGCGCTCTCCTCCCTGTGTGCAGGTAGCGGGGGATAAGGCCGAGGAGATGGGGAGAGAAGAGGAAAAACCCGCCTTGCTTCTTCGAGAAAATGAAAGTTCCCATCCGCCAGCACGATATAAATCTGCCAGATAGGAACGATATTAACTTGCGCGCTCAACTTTCCTTCACCCTGATGTATGAACTTCCCGGTTTAAAAGATTACAGTAATCACGGGAGGAGAGTGTAAATCGAATCTGATAGCAATAACTTTTGGGGAAGGTCAGGCTCAAGTGAAATGTTACCAAGCAACAGGCATTTTGTTTGCAAAATACAATCGAAGTGTATTGATGAGAAATTCTTCCTTGCCAGCTAGTCAGCACTTTCTGATAATAGCTTTACGGAGCAAAAAAAAAACCCAAATAAACAAACAACAAACCACAACGTAGATCTCCATAAATCAAGCCCTCGGCGCTGTGCTTGCCCCCGTCCCCTCCCGTGAGGCCGGGCTGGGGGGACCGAGGTACCCCAGGACCACCGGGGAGCCTTTCTGATCCCACAGACATCACCCAGTCAGTGGTCCCCAGTCCCTGATTGTCACAGACGGCTTTCCCCCTCACTTTTTATGAACAAGAGAATGCATGAGAGCAAGGTGGAAAATGGGCTCCTTAGAGATGCCTGCTGTCACCTTCCACCAGACACTGTTTGACCACACGACTTGCTTATTTCCAATTATCCTGTGTGCTCTGAGTAGCAGGGTTTTCTCTTTCTTCTCTTTCCATTAACTGCATTAAAATTGCCGTAAAAACAGAGGATAAACCTGCTGTCCATCCACTTTCTAAAACACACACGCACTCCTTCCTCCCCGAGGATGTTACTCTCGTGAAAAGTTTTTCATTGTCGAAGGGATATTTCCCAATATATGGTAAAATCAGATCCGTTTGCTTTTATTCCCGCTACAATCGGCCATTTCGGTAGGACAATTGCGAAGCTCTGAAACTACCCTTGCTGCATCTGCCTCTGCTAACCTGGATTGATTCCTCCTCCTGATACCGTGCTCAGGAACTTCCCTTGCCCACGGGAAGGGAATATTTGTTATATTTGTCTTAGTAGTAGTTATCAAGACTTGTTAACAATATAATGCTATATTTGTCATCTGATATTTCAGAGACAGTTTCTTAATGCAGTGCAGCTGTCCCCGTATTAATTTGAGAGCAGTGATTAGTCTCCTACAGAGTATTTAGATCTTTGAATATAGGGAAGAAAGTCTAAGTGAAAGTAATTAAAACCAAAACCTAAACAAAGCCCCAACAACCAAAATCAAGCTAACAAACACCCCACTCTTCCAAACAGACAGCAAAAGTAACAAAGTCAAACCCAAACAAAAAAAGCCCCCACCAAAAACATAGCCTTAGCTTTATGTGCAGTTATGCTAGTTCTGGTATCAGCCTTTCCTAATAATGCAATTAAGGTAGCAGGTACTTTTGAGATACAAGAAAATCTGTGCTGAGAAAAAAGATTTTCTAACAATCGAAGAACATGCTGTTTTAATACAGACTCAGCAGCTGGAATATCGGAAAAGCAAATTTGGTTCCAGAATATTAGACAAAGTTTTCCAGACAAGTTACTAACTTGAGAACAGCTTTTCCCTCTCATTTATTTTACTTTTATTTGGCCCCTTTACAACATTTGGCTCATGGTTATTAATGTAGAGATGGTCAAGAAGAATTGGAGTAAATATTGGGCTGAATTTGTATTGTATTTTACTGTAAATGCATGTATGGTTCTCCCACTGTTCTGTTTCATGTGTATCTGTATTTGCACTGCATCTCTGATCTGGGTTGGTATCTCTCCCTGCATGCATATTATTAGGTGAATATCCCCATCTTTTGTATCAGTAGGAAAATAGTTTCCTTAGTTTTTCCAGGAATTACGAACTGGATACTTCAATGCAGGCAATTCGAAATAGAAGGTGTTGGGGGGAAAACACCCCCAACACACACACACATACACACATGCAACAAAACAACCCCCCCAAAAGACAAAAATCCAACCCCAGAGCCACACAAAGAAACAACCCTCCCAAAACCAAAACCCCACAAAAAGACAGGAACAAAACAAGCAACCCCCCTCCCCCTAAAAACAAAAAAACAAAAAAAACCCCAAAAAACAAAAACAAAACAAAACAAAAAAAACCCAAAAATAATCCACAAAAAACCCAAAAACAAACAACAAAAAAAGAGCAAACCACCAAAACACAGCCACCACCAGAAATACAGCAAAAAAGCTCAGAGCTCACACAGGACAAAATGTAATATCCAAACCCCCAAAATCGTAAAAAATATCTGAGGAGGAGATTTCTTTCTTGAAGCCGAGAATATCCTCATGTACAAGTTACGAATTATGAAAAGAAAAAAAGCTTTGGTGAGGAGCAGTACGTTCTAAATACAGAATTATTTTTGTACCTGAAAATACAAACATTTGTAATTATACATGCATATAATGTTCCTAAAATTCAGTGTCCACATAAGGACATTTGCAATGTATCTTCACAATTTTTTGTTTATTTGACAATGGCTATTTTGCGTCTTCACAAATTTTCGTTTATTTGACGATGGCTGTTTTGTGCCAATTTTAAACGAACGCAAATCCCGGTCGCGGCGGTTCCCATGAAGGGCTGGGGACAGTCCCCGGAGCTCGCCTGATCCTCCCCGAGCCTTCAGCGTAGCAGGAAAGGGGTGTTTAAAGCAGTTCAAGCGCAGCCTACAGACGGGGAAGCCCCGAGGGCCGGGCGGGTGCGACAGGCTCGGCCCCGGCGTGCGACACCGCCCCAGCCCGGGCTGGGAGCTGCCTGGCACCGGCACCCAGAAATGCGCCCAAAGAGGGAAAAACACAGCAGCCTCCATGCTCAGTGGTAGCCAGCAGAGGGTAATTCTCTGTGTGTTAATAGCGCCACTTCGATTTAAAATCAACGAAGGCTTGTTTTCTGGCTCTGTCCCTGCGAGTATCGCAGCCTAGTGAGATGTGTCGCTGTGACCTGTGCTGTATGACGAGACTGCCCCTGCACAACAGCTAAGACCCAGCGTCTTGCGTGGTCTCCTGATGATAAAGACGCAAAATTCAGTCAGACAAGTTTTCAGAATTTGATAAAAATTTTTTAGGCAAGCCTCATAAGAATATTTTTAAGAGTACAGAAAATGAAGAAAATCTGAAATATCCTGAAAATAACATTTTGTAAGGATCAGGGAATATATTTGAGATAACTTACCTGATCTGAGGGTGTTTGATTGTTGGTTTTTTTAAATAAACACATATTTTCTCCACAGCCATACTTGCTCTCATCTCATAAAGATACACTCTAAACGTGAGCCTGAGGTAATTCTGAAATATGTTCTCCTTGTTTTCAGTCCATTTGGTGATATTTACCACCACAGTGCAATTTATTTATGTGAAAATTAGGGCAATGATCTTCCTTAAACAGCTTCTCTAACTCTGTCAAGATAGGGACAAGGATGTTCTCAGACTGCCCGCTAAGCCTTGACTGTATAAACAGTCCACTCACCAAGATTTGTAATAAATACATAGTGAAGGGATTAGAAGGGAAAGGTAGTGTGAGTCTCACGTTTTCTCAATAATGGATGAGCTATGCCAATATCTTAGCACCTCCTCAAAAGGATGCAGGTGCCAGTTTGCCATCGGCAAGCGATTCCTGCATTCTGCTTTAGCTGCTAAAGCAAGATTGATGCGCTGAACGTATGAGAAAGAGGAAATGTACATAGGCTTCTCACTAATATAAAACATGCAGAGTTACTGCTTCCCTGTTAGCAGATAACAGGTGGCATAACCAGTGTAAAAACCAGTTGCCAAAATGGGTTATCCTGCTGAAGGGAGTGAGATTTTTCTAAGAGCATCTGTATTCCTCAGCTACATACCTATCTTCCACAGCCCAAATTAGCAGCATCCCACATCTCTGTGGGATGGCCCATTGTTTCTGCCAGGTACAGCCATCCTCATGAGGAGAACCTTTCTTTGCTCACATGCTCACACTGTCAGGCTGTGCTCTGCCAGGATCTCTTCTTTATTTATAGCTCCCACTGTGGCGAGCACAGTGGCTTCTCGCTCAGCTCAGGCTTGCTCAGACCCTGACTTCTTTCTGTCTAGTGGATAAATTCCATTAATAGTCTTTTTTTCATGCTGATCTGTTAAATGTTAAACTTAGCCCACTAACTGATGAGCAGATGCTCTGCTTTTTCCTGCCGTGAGAGGAAGGTAGGAGATGGTGAGCAGTGAGGCTCAGGTGCTAAACTCTAACTCAGGTGCACACCTCTAACTCCATATCTTAACTGGTTCCATCTCAGTTGGGCAGGTGGGATCATCAGCACATTTTAGGAAACTTTGCTTGCTTCTAACAGATACTTTATCTAGTTGGGGTGTTTGTCAGCAGCTTGGAAAACTAAGAAAATAGTTGTATTGGTTTTTGCAGATAGTCCTTCCAATTTGTGTGTTCAAAAGCACTGCCCTGTGTGGTTAAAGTAGACTGTCAGCTGCAGCTTAGACAGTGATCCTCGCTCCATGCATTGGTGCTTCCCAAGAATGTAAACATTCTGCTCAATGAGGAAAGCCAGCAGAACTGCGTTCTTGGGAAGTACCAATGAACAATCTCAAGCAAGTACATTGATCCTCTTTTGCATAAGCAAGCATCCTTCCCTTCTTCTTGCCAACAAGCAGTCTTATTTCAAAGAGTCCATACTCTGGTCAGGCATTACCAAAGAGTGTTGAGTGTCCATCTGGAGACAGCATGGTCAATGGGCTTGTTTTCAGCTCCATACTCAGCTCTCATTCTTCTTAGTTTAGCATATAGAAAGCAAGATACCTGGAACAATTGCTAAGAGAGGTTGTGAGGAATAATTCCTCATCCTTGGAATTATTTAAAACTCAGCTAAGCAGGGATATGAGCAACCTGCTCTTTGTGTAAGGCTGCTCCCACTTTGAAGAGGATGTTGGACCAAATGCCTTCCAGATGTCTTCTCCAAACCAGACTTTTCTAGAATATCTGCTTGGATGGTACAAGGCATCAGACATATTTAAGGGTTTAGAGGAAAAGCTGCAATTCCTTAGAGCTGTAATACATTTATTTGTTTGAAGGCTTTTAAAACCTTCAATCTGTAGTCACAACGGAGTGGTTCCACCAATGCTGTTGTAAGTGCAGGGGAATTTTCATCTCCTAAGTGCCCTCTTCAGCTCACACATAATGAGATGGTGCTAATGAGGTATTATGATCTGAGAGCGCTAAAGTTCCTCTGAGAAATCTTGCAGTTTGATGGTGGGTTGCTGCCTTGTAACCAGTGAGAAAGGATAGATATAGCACTTTTGATGCAGCAGAAAAATGATCACATTCTTTGCTTGCACATGGGAGAATGAGACAGAGTATGTCTAGATCAGGTCACATTATCCTTTTGCAGTTTTATTCTCATGGCATGTTGCAAAGATACCTTAATTTTTGTAGGGTCTCTGAGAAAAAGCACTTTTTCCCCCTTAGAGTCCTGGTCTGTTCATTTTAAGAAGACAGCATCCTCAAATCTCTGTAAAAAGCTTTTGGCCTCAGTTTTCTGTTAACTTCTCTGACTTCTCTTTGCAGACGTGAATGAGGAGCGGTTGGGTGATGCCAGTGGAGCAGACAATGCCGAGACCTACAGTGACAAAGACACAGACCAAAGGAGTTCCCCAGACATGACTAAAGCCAAAAGTTGTTTCAACCCTGAAAGCCCCGAAATTGTTTCAGTGGATGAGGTCGGTTTTGCAGTTCAGAAAAATGCTGGGAGCACAGAGAACCGTCCAGAGAGCCCCAAGTACCACCCAGAGCAGAACCACCTCCTGATAGAAGGTCCTTCTGGGACAGTTTCTTTACCATTCAGTTTGAAAGCAAACAGACCCCCGCTTGAAGTCTTGAAAAAGATTTTCCCTAACCAAAAGCCAGCTGTGCTAGAGTTGATCCTGAAGGGGTGTGGCGGTGACCTGGTGAGTGCTGTAGAGGTTCTCCTATCCAGTCGGTCGTCAGTGGCCAGTGGAGAGAGAACTTCTGCAGAATCGGATGGTCTTGTTTTGCCTTCCAATGGGCATATTTTTGAACACACATTGAGTTCCTATCCTATTTCATCTTCCAAGTGGTCTGTGGGCTCGGCATTTAGGGTTCCCGACACTCTGAGGTTCTCTGCTGATTCCAGTAATGTTGTGCCAAATCCTCTAGCCGTACCTTTGCAGCACCCGTTTCCTCAGCCACCACGCTACCCGCTGATGCTGAGGAACACTTTGGCGCGAAACCAGTCCAGCCCATTCCTGCCCAACGACGTCACCCTGTGGAACACCATGACATTGCAGCAGCAGTACCAGCTGCGGTCCCAGTATGTCAGTCCTTTCTCTGGCAACTCAGCCGCTGTTTTCCGAAGCTCGCCTGTCCTTCCTTCCCGCTCGTCAGAAGATCCTAGGATTTCAATTCCTGATGATGGTTGCCCAATTGTGTCTAAGCAACCAATTTACACAGAAGACGAGTATGAGGACAGGTCTGATTCTTCAGACTCAAGAATACTCAACACATCTTCTTAGACTGACATTTGGCATGTGACAGCTAAGCGATACTCACAGTGCAGCTGAACTACTGGCCCCTAAGAGGAGGGACATGTACTCTACAAAACTCTTGCAATTGTATTTGAAAGTTGCTTGGTATTGTACTATAGCAATAAAGACGTAACTTATTTAATTTCTTGCACTTCACTGGATAATGCCAAATAGCAATACTCTGGCTTTAGTGCTGAGTGTGTGTTGCAAAGGAAGACTTTATGGCTACCAGTTATGGGACTCTAGAAGACTCATAATGGAAACAGAAGCCCAAGGTCTACTTTGTTCCTTAACTCAGAAAAATGGGGATGTTAAACTAGAATACTTGAATGCTGTTTTATAATTGAGAACTCCTCAGGACATAAGAAATCAAGCAAACATAGTTCAATTGCAAATAGACTAAAACAAGGACGTTATAATCTTATGCCAGTGATCATCCTTGCAGTGAAAGAAAAGGCAGAAGAAAGAAATACACACATGTAACTAACATGAGCTGCTTCTGTGCTGCTTGAGCTTGGACACTTTTCAGAGAAATATTATTAAGAGTTATTCTTTTCCCATGGCTAGGTCAAAATGTGTAATGTCAGTGTAAAACCAATTACAGCTGTGAATTGCATGAAGTGTATTGTGAAATGAACACCAGATTAAGCATTGTCAGGTTAATGTAGCATGCTAAGGACTCTAGAAAAATAAACTAAGATGATGATCTTGGTTTATGTCATTTATACTGGGCAAATAACATTCTGAAGATAGAGAGCCGGGGTTAAAATGTCCAGCTCCAGCAGCTGCAGTCAGGGGAAACCTCTTTTTCCAAGTCTGGGTTTTGCTTCTGTGACTTGTAACTTGCAACTGAGATTAGGCAAAAGCTGTCATCAGGGAAGCTGAGGTCTCTTGTATTTGTACTGCAGATATTTCCAAGCTCAGCTGCATAAAGCAGAGCTTGCTACAATCACAGAAAGCAGAAAACAAAAGGCTCTCCCAATGCTTCAGAAGTGTCTTTTTTTCCTATTCTGTAGAAGTAGAAAACCAAAAAAAAAACCCAAACGGGAATAGGATGTAATAGTGGGCATTTCTTTAAAATAATTTTTAGCCAAATGGCAGCTCCCCTTTTCCCCTAGAAAAGTAATGGTTTGAACAATTTATTGCATGATTGCATGCACTGATTACACTGCATATCTTATGTGTGTCTGAGTAACATTAGGAATTGCTTCTGATGAGGAATGCCTCTAAGTTTAATGTCCACTTAGAAGTTTGTTAAGCTCTTAGTGTAATTTTTTTCAACTGTTCACAAGTGACTACGTATGCTTAACAATTGACTTTTTACCAAACACACCTCTGAATGCAGATGAAATGTCTCTGTTGTCTTTCAGGTCTGGGGATTAGTCCCACACCTCAAAAGAAAGGTGAGGCCACCCTGAAGTTGGACTCTAAAGCAGATGGGCTTTAAAACTGTTATATAAGTGTATCAGGCATGTTATCTGGTGTCATTGTTGATACGAATGCCTGTGTTCTCATTTAGCATTTCATGTTCTGTAAGTCTTGTGCACATGATTTATAAAGGTACTGGATACGCACAAAAAGGAGAATAAAATAATGACTTTATTTTCCTCCGGGGATAAATTAACTGAAAGATACTTTATCTTGCATAATTTTCCAACCTGTTCTGAAAAGCATTTTATTGATTATGCTACAAAGACATAAAAGCAGGGGAAGAGAGGAAAAAAAAAGAATTCCCTTAAGGAAATATGGAAATATAGAAATGCAAGCATCCGGAGTTTTCCTAAATGCAGGGTTTCAGTTGTGCAGTGACAGATTTTCCTGCATTCCCATGGCATTTGTAAACAAATTCATCTTAAAGCCACTCCAGAGGGAGAAGTAATATGTAAAATAGATCTTGCAAGCAGAAAGGCAGGTGGCAGTGAAGCACGGTGCTCTGACACATTTCTGAGAAGTTGTCAAGGCTAGATAAGAGCAGACAGGCCCTGGAGCTCCAGTTTTGAGCAGATTTCCTGCCTGCAGAAATGTTAGGCATCCCCTGTACCTTAAATGAAATCTCAGTGGAGGTTTTTTGTTTGTTTTGCTTGTTTGTTTTGCTACAGATGTTGAATCATCTTCAGCAGAAAGACCAAACTGTGATACCTGCAAAAGCTCATACCCTCTGTGGTCTGTGGGTTTTCAGAGAATTGAATTTTGGCATCTTAGCATTGGGACACATCTTTCAAAGAAAGATGACCCTTGGCTAACATGGAATGAACTATTATCACACTTGTGGTGAAAAATGCAAATTTGACGGTATGATTTTTAAAATTCTATCTCTTCTGACAAGCCGTTTTCTGAAAAAAGAAACAAGTTAAAATAATCCTGTCTCTCGTGTTATAAAATAACTCTTGACTCAATTGACAAACTTTTTTTTTCTTAAATAAAGCAAATATATCTGTGTTCAAAATAAGAAACGCAAATTTTCGTATTGAACACTAATTTTTGTTTGACCATGCAATATTTTAGTTATCAAGAAGATTTTTTTTTAATATATGTTCGAGCCTGCAATGATACCTTTGAGAAATTGCCTTGTTCATCCAGCTGTGTTGTCCAGGCTGGCACTGCAGGCAGTGAAATTTTTAAGGATCCCTTGGCATATTGGCAGGAATCTTCTGCCCACACGGTGCTGGGACCTGTTCCTCAGACCTTTGCTGGGCGCTGCCCACCCCATCCCACCCTTCCAGCCGGGGCGAGCGCGGGGAGCGGGAGCGCCGTTCCTGCTGGAGCCGCTCCGGGCCCGCAGCGGGCTCCCGGAGCTGCGGTGCCCGGCCTGGCTCAGGCGGTGCTCTCCCCGAGGGCGGCGACAGCCGTGCCGCCGCAGCTGATGCTCCTCAGCCCGCGGAGCGCCCGCGTCGGGAGCATCCTGGGATTCCCTCGGCCCCGCGGCCCGGCAGCGCCTAGAACTTGCGTTTCCCTGCTCCATCTTGTGGCCAATAAGGGTATATCCTCGTCCGAGCTGAGGCAGAGCGGGCATCGGGATGAGGAGGGGTGAAGCTGGAAGCGTGGATGCTCAGAAACACCCCGAGGAAATAAAAAAAAAAAAAAATTCAAATATCAAGTAGGACGCCTTGAGCTTGGTGAGGTCTCTGTAGATCTCAGAGTCCGACGGGTTGTTGGGGTTTTTTTAGGGTTTTTTTAAAGCCTTTTTTTTGGGGTACTAGAGCGGCTGTGGCTTTCTGGGAGCAAGAGACCTTCAGCACCAAGCCTTCTGCACAGCTCCTGCCCCTGTCTGAACAGCCCCTCAGGAGCCTTTTTTGGGTGCCTCAGAACTGCTTTTTCTCCTGTCAGAGAGGTGATTTCACTGTCAGGTCTCTGGGATATGCCACAGAAAGCTCTCTCTGCTCACAGGTCTGCTTGTGCAGCCTGACACACACCAGGGCAGTGGGCTCTGCAGAGGCTGGCAGCTGCCCCAGAGGCACATTGCCAGACCCCCGCTAGCTGACCTCTAGCTGTGACAAGGTGGTTAAGGCAAACAATGACGTAAACAGTAACAATAATAATTTCTCCCTCAAATGCCATGGAGAGCCCCAGTGTGATGCTCACGTTCTCCGGTATCTCTCATACCTGTGGATAAGGGAATAGTCAGAGGGATGGCAGGGGTAAGCACAGCACAATGGGGATGTCCTGTGCCAAACTATCCCTAGCCTTGTTCTTGCTGGTGTTGTGCTGCTTTTCTGGGGGTCCCTGACTTACCCCGCTAGTGGGTCTGAAGGGCCACCTCTGCAATATTTGTTGTATGCTTGGTGAACAGGCTCACCTCACATTTGTGCTGGCATCTTTGAAAAATGACTCTGATTCTCTCAGTGTACTGTTTCAGTGATTCATTCTTTATGTGCATTTACTCAGCAGACATGAGTGGGGAAATAAGATTTATGCTAAATTTATATGTTAATTTTAATATTGAAGCTATCCTGTATTTGAAGAATAAGATCAATTCTTCAATTTCATTTCTTACGTGATATTGCATATTGTCATTACTGGAAAATAAAATTATTTCTGAATGCATACTATCTAAACTTCAATTTTAGTGGACATTTAACTTTGACGCATCATTCTTCTCCCTTCCCTATAAAAACTAACTTAATACAATATTTAACATTCTCACACTAGTTGGCTACTGGAAGATAACAAAGACAGGACTTTTTACCCTAAATGATGTTTTGTTAATGTGCTCCCTGCAACATTTCTGCACTGTCATGGATTTCATGTATGACTCAGTGTTGCATCCATAGGAGTATTGGTTAAGGGTTGTGCTCCTCACTAGAGATTAATTTAATAAATTTCCACATTAGCAGCAGTGCTAGAGAGCCATGGCCACAGCTATTCACTAAACATGCCTGTACAGAGGCCAAATCCTAGCCCTAAGGGGAGAATCCAACCCTTAGATCACTACCAGATCATGTAGAGGATGGATACAGAGAATCAAATGTACGGAAAGATTTGGTCTCTGCAGAGGGAGATATGCTTTAAAGAGGCCTCCTGCCAGAGCTCTCTTGCTCTTCAAGCTGCAACAGAAAGAAAATATTTACAACACCTTAGGAGTATGGTTTGCTACTTTATCTCTTCACAAGCTGTGCAGGAGATTAAGATGAGAGATAGACAGGAGAAACCTTTGCAAGGTTACATCCTTGCTCTGCCCTACACTCTGAGGAAGAATTTTCCCTTCCTGTGAGATAAAGATAACTGCGACAAGGATTTAATTGTTTTTATCTGAAAATTCACAAAGAGTTTAAGTGTTCTGTAAGTAAGAGAGTAGAACATAGTGTTTACCAGATGATGTATGTAGGATTCTCTTTCTGATTTTTTCTCTGTGAGAGTCTATAGCTTTTCAATGTCTGACCTGTGACTGTCTTCAGCAAGAATTTTCCAGAAAGCCTTAGGGTTATCCTTAGATAGCCCTGAGCAAACAACTGTCACAAAATGGCTAAAAGTTGTGAGACCTAAGGTAA